TTTTGAAACTAGAAATTTTTCATTAAAACTAAATGAAAACAAAATTATTTTTCTTAGTTCAATCAAACATCTGAGTTTATAGTTATGAATCTCATGTCATGGCGGTATCTTCTAAAGAAATGTACAAAACTTTACGTGACACGCTTTCTAGCCGCTACCGGTATATTACATTGTGTAATAATATTTTTCGTTTAACAAAATATTATAAATTTAAATATGAAATTTGAATACGTAAATTGCATTAAAATTTATTTTAATATATAAGAAATTTATTTGTCTTCGTTTATAATATTTGATAAATTAATTTTCTGAAAATATACAATTTCATAAAGAAATTAAAATTTTGCATAAAAATTTATTTTTTATACAAAAATAAATCATTACATATATATAGATTTTTATTATTCAAAGTTAACAATTGTATAAAAGTAATTCTGTTTATAATTAATTAATTAATTTGTCTAAATTTTATATATATATATATATATATATATATACGTTTACTTATACGCACATATGCAATATAAGTAATACATATATATAAGATAATAAATTTTTTCTTTTTTTTTTTTTAATTATTTTTATTTTATTATGTGTATTATTTATATATTATAATTCTTTATTATATATAAGTAATTTTATTAATTATAATATTTTAAAAATATAATAATATTAACAGTATATATTACATTTAGGGAAAGTTAGAATCATATAGGGATCTTCAGAAAAATGGAAGAGAATTAAATGCAGATCAAAAAACAGCAGTAGCCAAATATGATGAAGTTTTACAAACATTGGATATTACAAAAGAATTATATAAACAAATTGTTGGAATTGCACATGATGCAGTTAAACAACAAAAAAAATTGGCAAGAAAAGAAGCCATTGAGAGAATGCAACAAGATATTGCAAAGGTAAATTAACTATTAATTTTGTATTATAAATATTATATATTAGGATTTATAATAATTTATAAATAATTTTATTATTTTATAATAATTTATTTCAGTTTATTGAATGTTTTTTATATTTATTAATTATTTTAGGTGAGAGAAGTTCTTCTTATACAAGATGCTTTAATGAACATGGGTACAGAATCTGTAAGAGAAGATTTCCTTGCTGGAAAAAATGGTGCTGTAAAATTATCAGAAGAGGATTTAAAATCTTTAGACAGCTTGTATAATGAAGTTATGATGAAACATCATCGAGAAGAAGGAGAACCAACATTCCTTCAACAAGTACAGAAAGTAGCAGAACATTATGTAGCTATTGTTGATGGAAAACAAAGAGAAGTTGTTGGCACAACTTACAATAAATTAAAGGAAATTATTACTTCTATTAATCAATGTGGGTATTTTGATCAAGTTCATGAAACTGAAGCTGTAGTAGAAGAAGTAAGTTATTTATATGTTAATTTTCATTATATATAATGTATTATTTTTGTAGTTAATTTGTAAATAAAATATAATTAAAAATTAAGAAAAAGTAATGACAATTTTATTAAAATTCTTATAGGTTACGGAAGCAGTTGCAGAAACTCAAATATCTGAAACTCCTGTGCAAGATCAAGTCAATGAAGAATATAATACCAATGACAGACACATTCCACCTGAGTCAATGATTCCAATTCCTAATTTCCCAGTACAAGTTGCTCCTCTTCCTGTTGTTTCTGGCACTACACCAGTTTCTGGTCCAATTCCTGTAGTTGCACAACCCATTCCTCATCCAGCTGCACCAGTTGAAACATCTTATTACACAAATGCAACAGGATTTGTTCCACAGCCACAACAACAACAACAGCAATCTCAACAAACTCAACAACAACCACCACAAGCTCCCAGAATTAATGATGTTATAGGCACACCAAATTTCTTTTTCTTACAAGAATCAGAACTTGATTCACCAGATGTTACATCTCAAGCACCCATTGTATCACACATTCCTGCTGCTGTTAATGCACCTATTCCTTCACAAACATTTACAAATCAAAATTTTGCAAATGCACCAGTAGTAGCACAACCAGTTATATATCAGCATCAACCGCCACAGGATATGTCCCACATTCCTGGATTTGCTAATCCTAATCCACCACCACCTATTCCAATGCCACCTTCTCATCAACAACCAAATATGCAATATAGTCCTCAGCATCCTACAACTTTTCAACAGCAACCCCAACAACAACAGCAGCAGCAGCAGCAACAACAACCACAACAACAACAACAAGCTCCTTCACAACAAGTATCACAACAAGCACAAACTCAGACTTTTGAACATCAACAAGAAAATCAACAACAAACTATTGAAGTATATTACAAATATTATATTATTAATAAAATAATATTACATTTTAAAATAATCAGAATATTAAAATGTTATTTTTTTTTATTTTTTAAGGAAAAAACTGAAGAGAATCAAGATGAAACAACAGCACCAGAATCAGAATTAGAACAACCTAATGAATCCGTAGATTGGTGTCAGATGACTGAAACTAATGATTGGAATCAAACGGATCAATCACAACAATCTACTCAAGATTCGCAACAAACACAACAACAAACATCTCAACAAACTTGGGGTGATCAACAACGTAGTGGATACAGAGGTAGAGGTGGAAGAAGGGGCAATTCTAATGGATATAATGGAAGAGGTAGGGGCGGTGGTTATCAACAAAATGGTCGCGGAGGGCAAGGTAAAGTATTATATCATTCTTAAAACAAAATATTTTAATACATTTGATTAAATTATAATTTTATATTTAGGAACATATTATCGTAATGACAGCAACTATCAAAATGGTTATCAACAACGATCTTGGGGAAATAGCGAAGGAAATAGCGGTTATAATTCTGGTTATAAAAGAGGCGGTGGTGGATCAAGAGGTGGAGGTCCACGAGGTGAGCGTGGTATGGATAGAGGTCGAGGACAGTTTCGCGGTCAAAGAGGTGGAAATCGTGGCGGTTATGCGCCCCGTGGTAAACCTCATACGCAGCAGTAATAAAATGCGATAGAGTTATGCACATATGAACCATAAATAATGTTTTAAGATCATAATTCAATTGTCTATTTATGAAAAAACCTAAGTCGTATCTTTAATACGTATAAAAGCTTGGAAAAACTATACCAAGAATTTTAACATGTAAAATAGTAATTTCATTGTTCTAGATCGTTGTTTAATAGTTGTAAATGATTAATTAATTATATTCATTCGATATTATATTCATACATATTAAGCAAATAACATAAAACATAAAAAATATTAATATATATGTAATTTTAAATTTAAAAAAATTTCATTTAATCAATGAAATAAGATATTTTGGTATATTTTTTTGCGGCTTAGGATATTTCTTAAATGAGACATTGAATATAAAAATTTTGCATTTGAATTTGGTATCTACAATTATCAAAAGAAGATCTATTAATATTGACAAAGAGTTATACAGATGTAACAATGTGATATAAGGAAAGATTAACCAAATTTAGAGGCGTGAACCCACCATGCAAGTATTATTGTGTTGTGACAGAAGGCAGTTTTCACAGGGCAACAACAGCTGATCAACAAAGATTAGAAAAATAATTTTATTATAAAAAAATACAAAAAAAAAATGAGAACTCATACAAGCATTTCACGCAAAGACACAAGGATGTATTTAACGAATAACGTTAAAGTAATTACACGAATAGATGAACTGCACGACCATCTCTTTGTCTTGCGGCGCATCGTTCTAGAGAATTTTTTAAAATACCAGAAAAAAGAGGATACAGTGAGCAATGCCTTCTTCTAGTGCTATATATCTTCTTGACTTCATATTCCATTTTCGGTCTATGAATCTATGAAGTATTTAGAAAGTTAAAGTTGTCGAGATTTAGTAGTTGGAAAAATGAAAGATTATAATGTAATATGTGGATACATAAAGACGTTTTTCATGAAATATGTTTCATGATTGCTACTAATTACTTCGCTCCTTTTACTGTTTTTTCTGTGTGATTCCAAAATTCTTTACGGTCGCCTATGCATTTGGCCAAGTAAAAGAGATTGCAGTGCAATGTCAAGTTTATAAAGCAACATTACCTGATTTTTTTTATCGCAAAATATATATGATTAATTTTTAAAAAAAAAAAAAGAAGCGATAGTGCGGAGCTTTAGCATGTAAGTCGAGTGTACAATTACTGACTAGAGGTAAAGAAGGCATATTTGTACAATATGCCATTGACAAAAGCCACGCTCACACCGCCAAACACGTGATGAAAAGTATCGTATTGTATTTCGTTTGTACATTTGTGTTTAATCACCTCCATCTACAGTTATGTTCAACTATCCTATGAATACCTATGTATCTTCCAAATAAAGATCTAATTCAACCCTGCTAACTAGCCTACGTATCGTACTCATTGTCGACATGAGAAACGTTTCATTCTTCAGCTTGTTCTCAAATAAAAAAATCGAATAAAGTATTTGATTAATCATATTTTATTAACAATATCTGTTTTGAAATTTTTTTCTCTCTTTTTAGTAAAATTATAAATATTTATTTTATTTAATTAAGTTATAATGATATAATAAATATAATAATAAAATAGTTATATATAATAATAATAATTAAAATAGCTATTCGAATTTCGCGCTTCTATATCTATAATACAATACTTTAGTTGATTATCGTAGTCAAAATTCGTTTTAAATTGAACGTGATTAAAATCTTGTTTGATATGTAAGTTAATATAATACTGATAAAATATAAAGTATTTTATTATTTCTAATAAAATTATATATATTAAGTATATATTTTATATTGCGTATATAATAAAACGCAAATATATCTTTAAAACAATTATAATATAGATATATAATAATAACCGATGTGATTAAGAAGAGGTAATGTTTTTTACTTTTTTTTAAATTTATTAAAGTAAAATTAATTATATTTTAAAATAGCTATATATATTATAATCATAATTATATGTCTATTACATGTATACTTTGTACGTATATTAATAAGTTTATTTAGGTTAAGAATATTAATAATTTTTTAATGTTAAATGAACATTTTTTTATACGATTTATTATATTAGAATGATGATTGAAACTGCTTGTGATCCCACAATAGAAAAACATTTTAAAGGACATGAAAATATTATTACAAGCTTATGTTTTCATCCTGAAACTACTCAATTAGCATCAAGTAGTTCAGACAAAAGTATAATATTATGGAATCTGAAAGAATCTGTAAGAGCTTATAGATTTTTTGGACATAAAGATGTAATTTTTGATGTAACTTATGCACCATCAGGGGAAGTGATAGCTACTGCTTCTAGAGATAGATCTGTCATAATTTGGGTTCCTAAGGTTACAGGACAATCTTTAGATTTTAAAGCACATTCAGGTGCTGTTAGATCCGTACAATTTAGTCCAGATGGAGAAAAGGTATTTGTATCTTAAATGATAAATGATAATAATTAATTTTTGATCAAATATTATATATATATTTTTTAATATATAGTTAGTTACTGCATCAGATGATAAAAGTGTTAAATTATGGATGGTATGTCAAAGAAGATTTCTTATGTCATTTGTATGTCACACAAATTGGGTTAGATGTGCTAGATTTTCTTTAGATGGTAGACTTATAGTTTCTTGTAGTGATGATAAAACAATAAAATTATGGGATGTTATCAGTGGACAATGTATTAAATCTTTTAATGATGTAAAAGGTATAATGATATATAAATTATATTTATATTAAAAATGAATAATTTTTATTGTCTATCTTTCTTTAAAGTATTATAGTTTATTAAGGATTTTTAAATTGTAATCAAAAAATTTCTATTACTAAATGTCTTATTAGCTTACTCTACACATGTGGAATTTCACCCAAGTGGTTATGTTATTGGATCTGCAAACACAATTGGTTGTGTAAAATTATATGATATACGTACTGGTTCTTTGTATCAACATTATGCAACTCATAAGGGTTCAGTAAATATGATAAAATTTCATCCAAAAGGAATTTCATATTAACTGCATCTGATGATTCAACAATGAAAGTATAGTATATTTTTTTTATATTTTAATAATTTTTTTTATAGATTTAGAATTTATCAAAAACTATAAAATAGGTTCTAGATTTGTTAGAAGGTCGTCCAATTTATACACTTAAAGGACATGCAAATGGTACCAGTGTAACATCAGTAACATTTTCTTCTAATGGAGAATTTTTTGCTTCTGGTGGAACAGATCATCAATTATTAATGTGGAAAACAAATTTTGATAAGGATGACATTGCTCGAAAAATTTCTAGACATTTAGTTTCACCTGTTAAAGAAGTAGAATTGAAAATTAAGGATGAAAAATTACATAAAGATGATGATATATCTGTAGGAGAAGAAGAAATAGAAGTAATAACAATTTTACATACTATTACATATATATATATATATTTGCACAATTTAATATTCATAGCTAATATTTAAATTATAATTTAAAATATTTTATTATTTTAGTCATTAGATGAAAAATATGATATTACAAATTTAAAAAATGGAAGAATTCATTGCGAAATACCAGATACTGGAATTTTAAATGAAAATTTAGAATATAGAGTAATAAATATGAGAAATCAAAGACCTTTTGAAAAAGGTCGTATTGTAAATATATCACATTTACCTAAAGAATCTCCTGATTTAAATAAAGTAACATGTTCAAATAGAATAGTAGATGCACTTAATGAACAAGTACAATCGTTAAGTGATGCTGTTACCATTTTAGAACAACGTTTATCAGTATTGGAAGAAGAGTTAAGAAAATAAATTTTTATATTTTATTTAAAAAATTATTTGATTATATAAGTGAATAATAAATATTTCTAAAATATATATTTAAATTGTATTTAATATCTTCTAAGATTAATTTCAAAATAAAAATTTTTTAAATAATATTTAGTATATGTTATTATAAAAATAAATTTTTAAGTATTTTTTTTATGCATGATTTGAAATTTTAATGTAAAAAGAGCTACATTTAATACAATAATTTTATAGAATAAAATAAATTTTATGATATAACGAAATATAATTAAATATATATTATATTTATTTCTTTATTCCTAAAAATTTGCATGCCTTTCCACTTTTTTTAATAGTCTGTAATATTTCATCAGAAGGAAGTATAGATGTGACAAATACTTTGTTTTCTTGTAGATCTATTTGTACATCATTAACACCTAAAAATTAATTCTGAATTAATTAATTAATCCAATAAATTCTAAAATATTTTTAAATCAATATTTAATATTTGATATTTTTTGTAATTAAAATAAAAAATAATATATAAATATCAAATTAATGATAATATTTCTATTAAAAAAAATAAAAATAAAATTTATATATAAATATTAAATAATTTATAAATATATAATGAATCATACCTTCTTTCTTATTAAGTACATTTGTTACAGCATTGGCACATCCTTCACACATCATTTCTACATTGAATTCGTACACCTTCAATTCACATTATTTAATTAATATTTTATCATTGTAGCAAATTGACAATTAAATTACCTGAGATGCCATGTCGATAATTGTGAGTTAAATTAACGTACTACAATTTATTTATTGTATATTACAAACACAAAGAATTTTTTTTTTATTGAACCGGAAATAACTCTTATCTATTTAAACGATAATATAATATCTATTTATTGGATATTTAGCAAATATTCAAGATTTATTTGTATCCAATAGCATATTGATTACAATGGCTGATGCTACTTTTTATTAACCTATATGATTAATACTAAATACAATAAAAAGTTGATTTTTTATTATTAAAAATATATATTATTTGTTATCATATAATTTATTAAAAACATACATACATATACAAAAAATATACATGAGTAATTAGAACAATTCGCAATTTTGCGAAAGAGGAGGTTAATATATAGCTAATACAATTCGATCATTAACAAAATTTTTCAGAAATTTATAAAATTTAGAAAAAATAATAACACAATTTTTTTTTAAAATAAAATGTTACGAAAGAATATATATATAATAATAAAATAATTGAATTTTTATTTATATTTTACTTTGTACTTATGAATATTCAGTATATTTATATAGACATTCAAATAAATTTAATTTTATTATCTCAAATCTTATCATATATTTGTTATTTTATCATTGTTTTTTTCAATAATTTTATTTAAAAATAGATTTTTCTTAAATATTTACATTTGAAAAATATTTTAGAAATTACTTTTTGTAATATATATATATATAATAAAAT